AAGAACTTCGCGATGGTTAAAGCTGTTCAAAGCTCAGAGTGTGATGGAATCTCCTTCTCTGGAGGTTTTAAGCAGAAACTGGATGGTAATTTGTCAGGAGTGCTTTGATCAGGTATTTTTGAATGGCAAGGGATTAGACTGGATGGCCCTTGTGGTCTCTTTTAACTCTATGATTCTGTGATAACCCTTGCTATTGATAACCAATTATATGGTAACTCTTGTACCATGTTGTCTACTCATGGACTCCTGTATTTCTACAATGAATACAAAGAGAGACACCAGGGTATATTTATGTCTAACAGAGATTACACCATGCATGGTCCATGTGCCCTCAGTGGGCCACAATGAAACCACTTTAAAAAAGAACACTAAGTATTCTTATGAGGCAGTAATACAAGAAGCAACATATTAAACATGAAGGCATGTTTACAAATGAAAGCACAGTGGCAGGAATGTCTTCAATAGCTAGGTAAGCATATCTCAATGGAGCAATAGTAGTTAACACCTAGTAATGCTTTCAGGAAACAGCCCTGCTGTTCAAAGCAATATTGATTATTCTAGCTGCCTGCATATTGCTTTAAAGCCAGATGTTAGTATGAAAGAAAGCTTGTAAAAATGTGCAACAGAGTGAGCTGTCCCCCTCCCTCCCCAATGCTGTTATGGTGTAGTTACTACATTTTATACATGTAAGGTGGGCTATTTCAAAATAACTGTAAACCTGAACGGCCACAGTCTGGAAATATATTTTAGTGAAGACAGTATCATTTAGTGCCTCAGACAGACCCTCATTCAGTGACATACTGGTACATATCAATCTGGTATTTGGCAGTGTCAGAAATGAATTATGATTTATACAACCCAAGATATACACAGCTATCATCCCATCTACTGTATTGTAGCAACTCTCCCCTCCCCATTTCTACTGCTGGACCATACATCTCCTGCTACTTGGCAGTTGTGCATGGCACAGATCTTCTAAATGACAAAAATACTCTCATTACAGAAACTCAGAATTGACAGATGAAATAATCTAATCTGGCCATGATTTCACTAAATTGAAGCTAATACAATACAAAGACTAAGTTCTCAAACTGCCAGTCTGACAAGACACAGCCCCAAACATTTTTCTCCTTAACGGGAAGATTGAGATACTGGGAAATGAGTTCATGAATCACAGAGTTGGAAGGGACTATAAGAGCAATTTAGTTCAACCCCCTACAATGCAACTAAAGCACTCCCAAGAGATGTTTAAAAATTTCTTTTAAAAGATGTCTAATTAATGATAGTCCATACCATCCAAGGCTCTATACCAGGCATGGGCAAACTTTGGCCCTGTAGGTATTTTGGACTCCAATTCTCACAATTGTGGGAGTTGAAGTCCAAAACATCTGGAGGGCTGAAGTTTGTCCATGCCTATTCTATACTCTACTGACAAAGAGCTCTTAACAGTATTCATGAAGGGCATGAATACTTGCAATGAACTAGCATCTTCTCTTGAATGTGCCAGGCCAGAGGAAAATCAGAGGAAAAGACCAGGAAGCTCAAGAGCATGAGACAATGGGTTGCTATTCCTCAGTATTTGCCACCTGAGGCAAACAGTGCTTCACTATTTTAAATTCTGGTTGGCCCTATAATCTTTAGTAATTTCAGAATTTCACTCATCTTTCATTACTCATTTTAGACATGGATTGCAAAATCCCACCACTGTATCCTCCATTTAGTTGCTTTCATTGCTATTGTACGTTGAAAATAAGAGAGTTGTAAAGGTAATGGCATCATTCTAGTGTACTTCTGCAATAACTTTACTCTCTCAACTGGTACAGTGAACTTCAGTAACCCATTTGAGATCTCAGAGATAAAGCTTATTGGAAAAAGGAGTCTCTCTCCTTAGTAAGGCTTTTAGAACGGATGTCTTTTAGCATGCAGTATTGTTTTTGAATTGTATTGTTTAGAGTGTGTGTGTCTCTGTGTGTTTCTGCATGGCAAGGGGATCAGACTAGATGGCCCTTGTGGTCTCTCCCAAATCCATGATTCTATGATTTAGTTGTAATCTTTTAAATGTGTAAACCTCTTTGAGGATGACTACTTTTAGTAGCAGCAGAAGTTCTGCTTCTCCTCCTCCATCATCACCCACCTCTTCTTCTATGAAACTATAAGATGGACCTGCAAAGAAGCTTGTATCTTTTGTTTATGGCAATCAGGATAGATGAATGAGTGCAACTGATTCCAGAAAATTAACCTTATGTAGATAATAATAATAATTTTATTTTTATACCCCACCTCCATCTCTCCAAAGGGACTCAGGGCAGCTTACAAAGGGACAAGCCCAAAAATTACAGGTTAAAACAAGCACAATAAAATACAACCAACAACAAATAAATAAAAACATTTCAATCAGGCAACATCATAAAAGCAATATAATTGCTGAACAAAAATTGATGTTGGGTTTGGGAGGCTCAGAGTAAGTGTAATGGTTCCTAAATAGGGCCGAGGGAAACGGCAACATTCAGAGGGCTGGGCTAGAACAATAATGGCCTTAGCCTTTAAAGTGTCAGAAATACAGGAAAAGGCCAAACTAAAGTGAAGGAACGGGATAATTCTCTGGTGAACTGCCTAGTCAAAGGCACAATGGAACATCCAAGCTTTTAGTCCTTGTGGAAAATGGACAGAGTGGGTAGATGTATTCTAATGTTCTCCAATTAAACTATTAATGGTATAGCCAAGACATGGTTTTGTAAACAATGTATTTAATGTGTACCTCCATCATAAAAAACATACAAGTGTTACCAGTAGATTGCTGAAGGCATGAGGCTGGCTGCTTTTCTGAAATGAACAAGAGAATAAGATAATAGTGCTTGTACTGAATGACACACTGATTCACGCACGTACAGAGTCACCTTGAAGCTGATGAAGCTATTAAGTGAAAGTTACATTGTCAGTGAAAAATATTTCTAGAGAGGGAATTATAGCTTTAAAAATAACTACAAATCCTACAGATGCTGATGGAATTTACCACAGAGTGCTAAACTGATGAGAGATAAAACGATTGCTTGCAAAACATGTCATTGCTTAAAATAAAACTAATCCAGATGGGAAATGTGAATCTGAATCTTGTAAAGGCAGTTGTTGTTTGGTGTCACAAGAAACTAAAAAACTAGATGGAGGTAGCATGGTCCACAATGAAAGGAAGTCAAAAGAGATTTGCAGCTAGGGCAAGTTTCACACTGAACAGTTATAATATTATGATTCCTCTTTAATTGGCATGTGGAATCCTGGGGTTTTAGTTATGTAGAGTTCTGATAGGGCTGTAGAACTCTCTTGGTGAGAAATCTAAGTATTTCAGGAATCATAGCAAGTGGATACAACAGTTCTATACCAGTGTAGTATGGAAGCACACCAGTTCCAGATTTGGCAATGTAGCCATTACACCAGATTGAATTTTGTCAGGGATTCTTTTGTGAGTGTTGCTTTTGACAGTGAAGTTCCACTGCTGACTGTGCAATGGCTTGTTCATATGGACAGTAAAATGTGTACAGGACACAGGTGCACACTGCAAATACAGTAGAGTCTCGTTTATCCAACCTTCGCTCATCCAATATTCTGTATTATCCAATGCAGCCTGCCTCCTGCCCAGATCCACAGCTGTTTCAACACATTGTGATGTTTTGGTGCTAAATTCATAAATACAGTAATTCCTACATAATGTCACCATGTATTGAACTGCTTTTTTCTGTTAATTTGTTGTAAAACATGATGTTTTGGAGCTAAATTTATAAAATCATAATGTAATTTGATGTTGAATAGGCTTTTCCTTAATCCTTATTATCCAACATTTTCACTTATCCAATGTTCTGCCGGCCCATTTATGTTGGATAAGCAAGTCTCTACTGTATAACTGCATTTGTGGCCTATATCTGCCTTTTGTATTAATCCCGTTTCAGAGATATCTAAGAGGAACAACTCTATTATTATGTTAATGAGTTGACTAGTAGTCATTTCTTTACAATGTCTGAAGTTGGGTGTATCCATATTGCAGAATCATAGCTGTTTGACACCACTTTAAGTCCCATAATTCCATCCTATGGAATCCCAGGATTTGTAGTTTTGCAAGGTTTAGTCTTCTCTGCCAAAGAGTGATGGTGCTTCACTGAACTACAGATTCCAGGATTCTGTAGTATACAGCCATGACACTTAAAGTGGTATCTGCCTTGGGCCACAGGGAGAGACAGGTAACCACCTTCTCCTTCTCCTTCTCCTTCTCCTTCTCCTTCTCCTTCTCCTTCTCCTTCTCCTTCTCCTTCTCCTTCTCCTTCTCCTTCTCCTTCTCCTTCTCCTTCTCCTTCTCCTTCTCCTTCTCCTTCTCCTTCTCCTTCTCCTTCTCCTTCTCCTTCTCCTTCCCCTTCCCCTTCCCCTTCCCCTTCCCCTTCCCCTTCCCCTTCCCCTTCCCCTTCCCCTTCCCCTTCCCCTTCCCCTTCCTCTTCCTCTTCTTCCCCTCCTCCTCCTCCTCCTTCTACACTGTTGATATACTCATTGCTTTTGGTTGTTCCTCAGTAATTGTGGTCCTGTCTGGAATCAAGCTTCAATTATTGAGCAAAGGATAGCCATTATTTTAAGCATTGTTTCTTTAGGCAGTCTTAAAAGGCATCTTCTTTTCTCTGTCTAGGAATGCTTTGATGGAGCTGTCAGTGTCTTCCATTATTATTTGCATCCTAATTAAGAAATTGCAATAGAATGTTAAATCTGTGCAATGTCAGTGTTGCTAAAGGCTCTATTCAATTATAAACCCACCGAGCTGTGTTCACGATGCTTCCGTTCCACATATAGTAGAAGTAATGATGACATTGTACTAAGTATTACATTCAATTACTGTTGAATTTTTGGTATTTAAATTTTAATCTCACCTGCATTATAAAAAATAGGGAAATAAACATGTTTGGAAATGTGCTCATTACAGACATGCAATCGTAAGATTTTTTTTAAAATCTTTATTTGTTTTTCAGAGAACAATGATAAAAGAAGCTTATTTCCCTGGATGGATATCTAGGAATGAGAACTGAAAGTGAGAGCTCTATGTGTGAATATGAAAGATATGTTTCAGGACAACGCAAACAGTTAAATGCCCTTGAATGGATGTTAGTTGAATGGGACGAGTATTTCATCTGATTACATTTCTGAAATTAAGGATTTGGAAAAGGCTTTTGTAAAGATGACCCATTTACATGCTGGACTCAGTCCAGAGACTATCGAGAAAGCCCGTCTGGAACTCAATGAAAACCCAGATGTTTTGCATCAGGATATCCAACAAGTCAGAGACATGATCATCACTAGGCCTGACATTGGATTTTTACGTACAGATGATGCCTTCATCTTGAGATTTCTCCGAGCCAGAAAGTTTCACCAAACAGATGCCTTCAGGTTACTGGCTCAATACTTCCAGTACCGTCAGCTAAATCTGGATATGTTCAAAAATTTCAAGGCTGATGATCCAGGGATAAAGCGTGCCCTGATTGATGGATTCCCGGGGGTGCTGGAAAACCGCGACCACTGTGGCAGGAAGATTCTTCTGCTCTTTGCAGCCAACTGGGATCAGAGTAGGTAAATGTAGATAGTGTACTTATCTTCTTTTAATGCACCATTCATTAACTTGTCAATATGAGCAATATTTTGGGCAATGCGATTCAAATTCAAATCCTGAATTGATCTCTCAATTTAATTGATTAGATAGAGTGCATCTTATACAATGTAGAATTTATGCAGTTTGACATCACATTAACTGCTCAATGCTATGGAATCATGTTAGTTATAATTTGATGAGGCACCAGCAATCTTTGGGAGAGAAGACTCAAGACCTTGCAGAACTATCACTCCAATGATTCTATAGCACTGAGACATGGTAATTAACATGGTATCAAACATCATACATTTTATATCTCACCTGCATTATAAAAAATACATTACATACATTTTATAGTACAGATCAGTGGTGCACAACCTGTGGCCCTTCAGATGTTTTGGACTTCGGCTCCCAGAATTTCTGATCATTGGACAAGCTGGCTAGGAATTCTGGAAGTTGGAGTCCCAAAAACTTGGAGGACCATTGGTTGTGCACCCAGCGTCAAAGTAGTATATACTGTAATTGCATAGTACAACTCTCTGTATTAATAGGGATACATTCCAAACTTCCCCATGGATACCTGAAACTGTGTATAACAGCAATCTCTATATCTTGACTATACCTGGGTAGAAGAATACTATCAATTGCACTGGAGGGCCTAGAGCAGGGGTCCTCAGATTTTTTAAGATGAGGGCTGGTTCACAGTCCCTCAGACTATTGTGACCTTGGACTGAGTCCCGTTCGGGGTGAGAAGGGCGGGGTAAAAGTAAACCAAATAAATAAATAAAATATAGTTTGAAAAAAATATGAATGAATTCATATGCACACTGCACACATCTTATCTGTAGTGCCAGAAAACAAAACCACGACAGAACAATACAATATTTAACATAAACTTACCAGGATTTCAATGGGAAGTTTGGGCCTGCTTTGGGCTGATTAAATAGTCAAGGTAATTAGGATTTTTGTTGTTGTGTGCCTTCAATTCGTTTCAGACTTAAGGTAACCTTAAGTCTAAAGTTTATGGCAGGGGCAGGTAAAGGACCTTGGAGGGCAGCATTCAACCAGGGGGCCTTAGTTTGGGGATCCTTGGTCTAGAGCAAGCATGGGCAAACTTCGGCCCTCCAGGTGTTTTGGACTTCAACTCCCACAATTCCTAATTTCATCAAGCCCCACACATTGCATGACGGGAGACCCATCATCCGATGGCATACCAACATATCTCTGGTTTTGCTGATCCATTTAGGTTTCTTGGCAAGAATACTGGGGTGGGTTGCCATTATCTTCCCCAGGGATCACATTTGGTCTGACCTCTCTGCCATGACCATCCTGTCCTGGGTGACCCTTCACAGTTTTGCTTGTGGCATCATTGAGGTGCCCAAGCTCCAGCGCCGCAACAAGGCAGTGATCCTTTGCTGGAGAATGAAACCTTGGGTATTAGGTTTATGAATAAAGGGTTGTACTTTGTAATTGTAATAATTAACTGTATGTTGCTTCAAATGTGTAGTCCATTTTCTCCATGAATAATACATATTTTAGCAAAATATTTGCAGAAAGTTCCTTAGTGCCTATCATACCAGAAAATTGGTCATACTATGCATGTCATATAACCACTGGGGACACAGTAAAAATATTGTGTTTTTAAAACTGGAGATGAAATAAAACTAAATAACCTGAGGAGTCAGGGGGAAATACTTCTTTTGCTCACAACTGATCTTTCCGTAGTTGATACCAGCTAATGCTCATAAATCCTATTTTATTAACCCAAGAGTTGTAAACGTCAGACACTTAACTGCTCTGCAAGAAAGTGTACAGAGACTTGGATTTAAAGGGCATGGTATTATGGCTATGTGAGATTGCAAAAGAAAAAAGATATTGATCAAGTTAAACTAAAGATCTAATCTGGGAAAAGTGATCAAAAACAGTCTGTAAAATGAGATATTATTTTAAAATGCCCACACATTTTAGTGTCAATCTCTGACATTTAAAATAAATCTGTAGAGGCTGAGAAAATAAATTTATGCAGAAAAAAACTGGAGATGTATCTCAAGATGCTCATGATAATTTATTAGAAATAAAATTCAGTACCTTGAGACATGTTTGAAGTTTATTCTGCAATTTCCATTGGCTGCAGTCTGGTTTGTATTTTTTAATGATTTAGAGGCTGTTGCCAAGCAATAATTGACATTTTCTGCATGTATATTCTTGTAGCTATTGCAGGATGTCAATAACGGTAAAAGAATTTTGAAAAAAAAAACTTGTTTTATCTTTTATTCCTTCACATTACTATTCAGTAAAGAACTGCCAAGACTGCCACTGTCTGCAACAACAGCACAGACTTTTATATGTGATAGACTGAAGTCATTAGTTCAGAGCAATTTTACTTTACGTAAAACAATTACATTTTTCAGGCCATGGTATCAATAACATTCTTGTGAACAGGGGAAAGAGAGAGCTCTAAAGTGAATAATACTATGCAGCAACAACATATGAGGTGGTGCACGATGATAATGTATTCAATTCATTATCACCCTGTTTTGTTGCATGATTTAACAATTCATGATAAAAAGTTATAACAGGAAACAGAATAATACTGCAAAGGTATCAATTGCCTCTTCCAGAGTCTGGAAAATGTTGCTTTTTGGACTACAAATTCCAGAAAGTCTTCAGCCAAAATAGTAAAGGTAAAGGTTTCCCCTGACATTAAGTCTAGTGCTCGTCTCCATTTCTAAGCTGAAGAGCTGGCATTGTCCATAGACACCATCAAGGTCATGCAACCAATATGATTGCATGGAGTGCTGTTACCTTCCTTCAGAAGTGGTACCTACTGATCCATTCACATTTGCATGTTTTCAAACTGCTAGGTTGTCAAAAGCTGGGGCTAATAGCGGGAGCTCACCCTACTCTCCAGATTCAAACCACCAACTTTTAGCAAGTTCAGAAGCTCAGTGGTTTAACCTGCTATGCAACCAGGAGGCCTTCAACTAACATGACCAATTTTTCCCCAAGTTTTTTCTGAGTCTTTTCCTATCTACCTACCTCATCACACTTACCTAAATCGGCACCTTAAGATGCTTCCACCCTGCCAGCTATCACACGACATTGTGTGTCTTGGGAATGGAGACTCCACCTCCTATCAGGGTGGAAGCATCATTGAATGTTTCCCCCCACGATACAGTAAGCTTCCCATTTTCCAATGGAGCCAGCATGGATCCTCTGCGGAAGGACAGTACTCCCCATGTGTGATGGGAGAAGTGTCATCAAGAGGGAGCATTGCCCCTCTCTTTTCTCACCGAAGCTGGCCTTTGTGATGAGGCCCTACAAGGTCAAGTCTGGGTATTTGTTGATAGACCTAAGACGATGCTCCTGCTCTGTTTTCAGTGAGAAAGGTGGGATGGCCAGACAGAGGACCTCTGATGTATCTGCCCACAGTCAAACAACTATCATGACCAGTGGCTCATTTACACTGCCTAGTTATTGTGGGATCTCAAATGCTCTAGGTTGGCCCTGGAGGTCTTGGGGGTGTTTACACGCTTTGTGCATGACCCATAGTGGCAACAGAGTGGAAAAAAGTAATTTGGTTTGGCTGGACTCTTGATTTAACTTCCCTTTCACCATAACCACTGTTGGATGGCTGCAGAACTCTGATATTTCTTCTGGCCATCATGGAGAGGGAGAGGAGCTGAGTTCTGCAGCCATATGTGGCAGCGACAACAACATGGCCTTGATCCGTCCCCTTTTCCCTGTGTAGGGTAAAGGAGATGGCAGCAGTAGACCATGTAGACAGTGGACCAGTCCACATCAGACCTGGTTGTTCCTTCCACATTTCCCACTGAAATACTGGTAATTTATGTTGGCTAGAATTGTTCTACATTTTAAATATTGCATTGTTCTTTCATGGGATTTTTTGGCACTACAAATAAGACAAGTGCAGTGTGCAAATGAATTTGTTCATGTTTTTTTTTTCAAACTATAGTCTGGCCCTCCAACAATGTGAACACCATGAACCAGCCCTTGGCCTAAAAAGTTTGAGGATCCCTGGTTTATACCACCCTATAATCCAGTTCAATGCATTCTGAAACTGGATTATAGGGTAGTGCAGATCCAGCCACAGTTTACACACAGTAAGTAGTACCTACCAGATCCAGCCACAGTTTACACACAGTAAGTAGTAACTATCAGAGGTTCCTGGGTGTAAAGCAAACATCAAGGAGCAACTTCTCCCTCAATGGGGGCTATACAGCCAGTGTAGACAAACAAGGCCCAGTCAGCCATGAGATAGAAATAGCAAGGAGGAAAAAGAGTATCTGAAATTTCAAAGTTCTCCCCATACAATCAAGTTCAACAGAGTACAGAAAAAAAAAAATCAAAGCATCCTCCTGCCAAGTTAATGTATTACAGATCTCTTTGCTTAGGCAAATGAATGAAGTCACACACCACAGAATCTGTTCAACATACAAAGACACAATCACATATAGATACAGTGCTTATCTTGAAGCAGAGGGTCTTCAGTTCCCAAAAATCCAGGAGATCAGTGAAGAAGGAAGAGACAGAGACAGCATTGCAAGTTCACAGAATTTTTAATTGCTTACCCGGGTAAGGGCACCACAGCTCCAACCTGGCTAATGTGGTACAAAGCACTAGACCCAAGGGCTCAGAATTTATAGGCAAAATTATCCAGTTCGCACATGCGTACAATTCATTTGACATTTGCACAATCTAATCAATATCAGTTTGTCCTCGAATCGTAGCCAAGAACATTTGTTGGCAAAACACTCGTTGGCAAGAACATACAATTTCCACAACTTTCCCTTACGTCATCTTGACCAGCTTCCCCAAGACTTACATTAAAATGAATCTTTAACATGAATCATAACTCCACATATCTCTTTACACATTATTATATGATTCCATACATCTTTCTATATATATCCTTAACTAAAGCAAGCATTTCCCTTATTAGTCCTTCTTAATCATATTC